ATCTAAGAATGACTGTTGTTGGCAAATCTTATTCTGACTTTAATCATTCTGTCTGCAGATGAACAGAATGTCATGAAAACATGGGAGTGGAATAAAGTTTACCTGAATGGGGTGGAAACTGAATTTTGCACATTTTAATGACATTTCCACATTTAATCATGAAGGTTGTTGTCTTCATTTATGATTTGCTTTTGAACTTGTCCAATCGCTTTGCTAGAAGATAATGCCTTCAGCATTTCTTCAACTCGCCTTGTCCTAATTTGCATTACTTAAGGTTCGTTTATTGACAACTAGTTGTTATTAAGTTAACACTTTTTCCAAGATAAGATTCTGATGGAACATACTCGACTAATGCCATCATATTTGAGGAGGGCAGAACTTGTGTTGTGATACCTTGTCTGAGTTTTGGACTTTTAAGTTTTTTTAAATTTCGACATGTTTTTCTTCATCGATTCTTCTGATGTGTAATGATGTTTCATTTGTCATTTATGCCTTTTCCTGTTGTWTCTTACATTGATTGAATGTATATGTTTTTGGTCGTCGTATAACTTGCACAATTTTCCCTTATTTTTACATTGTTTGTTGTTGAGTAATGCATTTGTGTTTGGACGTTTAATAATTATTCCATTTGTTTTGGTTTTGAGTATTGTTTACTCAAGAGGAGGGAGTGTTATGGACTAATTATTTATATCTGTTTCACCTTGACACTGTCCAGTAATCATATCTTATTATAACCAGTTTCAGCTGTTTTACTCTATCGGCCCAGACTTCAAGACTCCAGCATGCATGACCTCTTTAATTCTGATAAGGTGTTTCCAGGCTGACAGTCCTGTCATTGGTTAGATGGTTACAGTTGGCCATCTATGATTGGTTATAAGCATGTCACATGATGTTATCATGATGTTATATTATTGGCTGCTCTCTGCTGARGAGCCAGTCACAACTTGACAGACTRCCTGATTGACCTCTGCTGTGTTGTTGCTCAGAATAAAYTCATTTTGACGACCATACACGCAGACTTTCTGTGCATTTATTCCAACGTGTTTCTGTATTCTTGGTAAATCATACCACGACAGATTTTAATATATTTTGTACTTAAGTATCAAAACTGAATTTCTGACATAAAGTATACTTAAGTATCAAAAGTAAAAGTACTGAGTAAAAATGAGTAGGGTTAGGTTTAGACTTCCCAAAATGACATTTATTGGGAGTTGAGACCCTCGAAAAATGTTTTTCTAAAGGTCAAAATGGCTATAATGTCATATAAAAATGTTAATGTTTGAAAAATTAGGATGCACTACACCTGTTACAATACACCTGTTACATGCAGTATATCTGCTATGTTCTGCTGGAGTGTGACAACCACAATTACATTCACTCTATCCAGGAGGATAATATTTTTTAACAACAAGCTGTAATGAAATAGTAACGGCTTTCTACTTCTTACCTTTTTTTTAAAAAAAATGTAATAAGTAGAAAGTACAGATAAGTCTGTAAAAATGTAAGAAGTAGAAATAAAATTAGGCTGAAAAATAATTACTCAAGTAAAGTACAGATAACCAAAGATTCTACTTAACTACAGTAAAGAAGTATTTGTACTCAGTTACTTTACAACTCTGTGTAAATGTATATTTACAGGTACAGAAAGTGAACTTTTGGCTGCAATACTTGTGTTTCTGTCCACAGCCCCCTGTTGGTCAACATGTCAGAGGCAGGACAGGGCAGGATCACTAAAGGCTCTGAGGAGTTCTTCTGCAGGATCCCTGACCAGCCTGTGTTCAAGCTAAAAATAAAAAAACTTTTAAAGGACACTTTCTGTGATGGAGCCATGTTTCCAAACTGATTTCATTTTACTTTTGTCTCATAACAAGATGAAACAAAGCGGCATCAGTTTCAGAGCCAAAGTTTCACCTGGTTTGGACTTTAAAGTGTATCCTCCCCCCCCCCGTGAAAAGATAACTCCACCCCAAGGCTTAGAGAGAGGAGGTGTGGCCAGGACGAGAGAACACGACAGCTAGCATTAGCATAATTGATGCTACATTGAGAGTGACCACAGCG